CTGTCAGCCTGCTTTCTATCTATGAGTCTGTTAGTTCATTTTGCTTGTTAGTTCATTTTGTTCATTAGATTCCACATATGAGTGAAATCATATACATGTCTCTCTCTGACTAGCTTGTTTCACTTTGCATAATGTTCTCCAGGTCCATCCATGCTGTCGCAAAGAGTAGGATATCCTTTTTTTAAAGCCGAGTACAGTATTCCATGCCACATTATCCTATGTAATAATCCTATATAATAAAAGGGTAATATGCAAATTGACCCTTACAGTGGAACAACCAGAATGCCTGCTCGACCAGTCACTGTGAGGTGCACTGACCATCTCTTGGTCCCTTTCCCTGACCAGCAGGCTCTGATTGCTATGGCAAATGGGGTATTGGGGGTGGGTGGCATGGGACGCAAGTGGCCCCAGGCCAAGGCCGTCACCCCACACACAGAGGGCAACCCATGGCGGGGTTGGGGCCGGCGGGCGGGAACGGCCGACCTCTCGGTTCCTCCCCCTAGCCAACAGGCTCCGATCACCCGATGGTGAATGGGGATCCAGGGGTGGGTGGTGGTGGTGGGAGGCGGGGCTGGCTGCAGGCAGCTGGGGAAGATGGCCCTGATCGCATGCCAGGCCTAGGGACCGTACCCACACACGAATTTCATGCACCAGGCCTCTAGTTTTCTATATAAACAGACACTAGTGTTTTAGGATATGTATTAGTCATGTTCTTAGTGACTTAGAAACATTTTAAACATTTTGCAAGAAGTTGAAACAGTGTTTTTCTTTTCTTTATATTTAAAGTTAAAAGTAATTGTTTCATTATTTTGAAGTTTGATTAAGCACATAAGGTTCCTGATTGATGTGTTCTTGACAAGTTGTACCTTTTACCAATAAAACTGCTCTTCTGTGCTCCAAGGTTTCTGAATGGTATTTTATTTGATACTGACTTCTCTTTGTTAGCAGTTGCCTTCTATAACTTTTTTTACATTCCTTTTTGGCTTGTAATTGTCATATTTAATGCTCTTGCCATAAGTACCTTGCTTTTTGTTTCTTTCTTTACCCACCCATCCCCCTCCTGCTTTTTGTTGTATTGATCACCTGCCCCACTTAGGAGTTTGTTTTTAGTGGTAAGGAAGCAGTAGACTATTTCTGTTCTTGTTCAACCATAAATATTAGTTTGGGCAGGTATACGATTTTAGATTTTAAGATCAAGATAATCTTCAGAACTTTGAAGTTGTTACATCATTGTTTTGTGTGTTTTTTTATTTTGTTTACCTGATGTTGGTGACATCCTGACACCAGTTTGGTTCTACTGTTTCCTTAGATACTCCTTTCTGTGCCTCTCCTTCTAAACTTCAGATAGATAAATGTTGAAACTTCTGAATTTACATTCCATGTCATTTAACTTTTCATCCAGGCTTCTCACCTCTCTGTCTATCCTCTTTTTTAAAAAAATATATTTGTATTGATTTCAGAGAGGAAGGGAGAGGGATAGAGAGTTAGAAACATCGATGAGAGAGAAACATTGATCAGCTGCCTCCTGCACACCCCCTACTGGGGATCGAGCCCGCAACCTTGGCATGTGCCCTTGACTGGAATCGAGCCTGGGACCCTACAGTCTGTAGACTGAAGCTTTATCCACTGAGCCAAATCGGCTAGGGCTATCCTCTTTTTTTATTGCATTCTGGCAGACCTTCTTGACTCCTTAGTCTAATACACAATCCATCCATTGAGTTAATTGTTATCATCTTTTTTAATTTTTCAAGATGTCTAATTTGTACCTTTAAAAGCAACCTTTTTAAAAAATATTGATAGATTCATATTCTACTGATGTTAATTTTGTTTGCTTTGTTTATTCTATCATAAATACTAGTTTTCTCTTTGAGTTTGGTACCTCTCTTTATGGTATTAATTTTCCTTTCTGTTAGCAGTTCTTGACAGTGTGCTCTCTTGGAAGACAATCAAGGTGTACTTGACAGTTGTCTCTGGACGTAGGAGATCTCCACTCCTGGATGACACCGCCCTAGTACAGTCAGACTTCTGCTTTTCTCAGTGGAATGGAAGGGATGTTGAGTTTGCTTTAAATGCAGTTTTCCAGAAATCACCTTAATAGTTCCCTCCCCCCAGAATCATAGCTACCTAAGAGATTCCTAGTCGTCTTCTGTTATAGATGTTTTGTGCTTAGGATTTTTCTGTCATAGTTTATAGAAGACTAGAGGCCTGGTGCACAAAATTTGTGCATGGGGGAAAGGGGGAGGTCCCTTCAGCCCAGCCTGCACCCTCTCAAATCCAGGACCCCTTGGGGGATGTCCAACTGCCGGCTTAAGCTGATCCCGGGGATCGGGTCTAAACCGGCAGTCGGACATCCCTCTCACAATCCTGGACCGCTGGCTCCTAATTGCTCACCTGCCTGCCAGCCTGATCGCCCCTCACTGCCTCTGCATGCTAGCCTGGTCGCCCCTAAACCCCCCCCCCGCCAGCCTGGTTGCCCCACTCAGCCTGCTTGTTCAGTCATTTGATCGTCCCTCACTAACCCCCCTGCCAGCCTGGTCACCCCATGAAGTCTGCTTGTTCAATCATTTGGTCATCCCTCACTAACTCCCTGCCGGCCTGGTTACCCCATGTAGCCTGCTTGTTCAGTCGTTTGGTCATGTCTCACTGACCCCCCTGCTGGCCTGGTCGTAGGCAGCCATCTTGTGAGGGTGTGGCGGTCAATTTGCATATTACCTCTTTATTATATAGGATGATTAAAGCTATTGACAAAGAGAAGATAACAAGATTTATATGAAGATATATGAAGATTTTATATTAATCTAATTTATTTGTGTTTTCTTTGGTTTCTTTTATCCTCACACATACTAGTTTTAAAATACAGTGGGGCCTTGACTTACGAGTGTCCCAACTAATGAGTTTTTCAAGATACGAGCCGTCTCTCGGCCGATTTTTTGCTTTGAGTTGCGAGCTAAAATTCGGGTTACCAGCCAGCTTCAGATACCCCACCGCTTGGCACAGCGAACGTCACAGTGTACGCCACAACATCAGCCCAGCATGACATGTCTCACTCGTTCACTTTATGATTTGACATTCGAGTAATTTGAGTTACGAGCTCCGTCACGGAACAAATTAAACTCATAAGTCAAGGCCCCACTGTATGCATGTTCCTTGTTGACATTGGCTAGCTTAAATTAGCTGTTTTTATATTCTGATCTTAGTTTCCTGCAAATCTTTTTTGCACACTATACTTAAAAAATATAACCATAGCTGTGGTTAGACTAAAAGAGAAGGTAAACAAAAGGTAAATGGAGGGGGGAAGTAGCAAAGAAAAATGAAGCAAGAGTAAGGGAGAAATGAACAAATAGAAAAAAGGGTTGTTATCTTCTCTTTGTGATTGAGATGTCCTGGGGCTTTCACAGTTCTGTAAGTTGTTTGAGGGAGCAGCCACTTCTGCTTTTGCTTTGTCAGTGCTCACCTGTTGGAGATATATGGATTTTTTCCCATAACCACATATTTGTTCAAGTTAGATGATGTTGACAACAAAGTTTTGAATAGAGACATGCCAACAAAGCTCTTGGACCTAATAACAAGACTCTGGACAACTAGATTTGTCTACAGCAGCGGTTCTCAACCTGTGGGTCACGACCCCTTTGGCGGTCGAATGACCCTTTCACAGGTCTCCTAAGACCATCCTGCATATCAGATATTTACATTAAAATTCATAACAGTAGCAACATTACAGTTATGAAGTAGCAACGAAAAAAATAATTTTATGGTTGGGTCACAACATGAGGAACTGTATTTAAAGGGCCAGAAGGTTGAGAACCACTGGTCTACAGAGATGTTTCCCATATGTTGATTAACATGTTCACAACTGTCCTCAATGGATATTAACTACCATCTCTTTTGTATTGTGCACATGAACTGTGTAAATTGGGTGTTCCAGGAATCAGACTCTGAGACAAAGACAGTGCAAAAAATGTATTGATGAGCAAACTGTACATTTGGAATAATTGTAATAAAAATGACAGTGTTTCTAGTGTCTGTTCTATACTGTTGACAAACAGTCTAACAAAAATAGTAACATGCATAAATAAGTGGTTTTTAAAATAAGAAAGACAAATGACCAATGAATATGAATATGCAAATTAAATAATAGTGAGGAAAATGCAAATTAAAACAATATTGGAATATTAATTTATACCCAAATTTTTGAACCTTACTACAGTTGACATTTTGAATGTGGTAATTCTTTGTTGTGGGGGCTGTGTTGGCATTGTAGAATGAAAGTCTGTCCATTAGATACAGTAGCTCTCCTGCCCTCAGTTGTTAGTCAAAATGTTTTCAGATATTGGCAGATGTGCTCTAGAAGGTAAAATAAAAGATAGCAACCATACCTTTTGCTGGTAGGAATGCAGGAAAGTGGTACATTAAAGCACTTCAGCCTTTTGGGGGGAAAGTCTGAGTGGTTTTGAAATTAAAAATATGTAAACCTTTTGATTTAGCAATCCTGTTACTGAGACTAGCGGCCCGGTGCATGATCCGGGCCTGGGAGGGATGCGGGAGGTTGGCCAGCTGGGGAGGAACTGCGGTAGGGCTCCAGGGCGTGCCCAGCCCATCTAGTTCAGTCCCCATTGGCCAGACCCCAGCGGCAAGCTAACCTGCCAGTGCACCAGCCCTGGTGATCAGTGCACATCATAGCAACTGGTCGACCCGTCAACTGGCCCCTGGTGGTCAGTGCACATCATAGCGAGCAGTTAAGCGGCCTTAGCATATCATTAGCATATTACACTTTGGTTGAATGGACAACTGGACACTTAGCATATTAGGCTTTTATTATATAGGATTATCCTGCTCTACTTAAAACCCTTAAATGGTGCAAGCGACTTGCACCATTCAGGTACATGACCATTCTGAACACCTTCCTGTTTTCCTTCTGTCAGCTTATCATTTAAGCACTGTGATCTGAATCTATTCCTGACTATTGATAAGTATTTAATAATTGTTTCCTCTCTTTTTAGAACTCTCTTGATAGAGCCCAAGCAGCCAAGAACAAAGGCAACAAATACTTTAAAGCAGGGAAATATGAACAAGCTATTCATTGCTATACAGAGGCAATCAGTCTGTGCCCTACCGAGAAGAATGTTGACCTTTCCACATTTTATCAAAACAGAGCCGCTGCCTTTGAACAGTTGGTAGGTATCCTGGGTGGTTTTTTCTGGGTTTTTTATTTCTCTTTATTTGTATTATGTTTCAGATAATGCCACTTAAATAAATCCAATGACTTTTTTGAAGTTGTCTTGAAATTAAAGGATTTTTGTTTTGTTTTTATATCCTTTAATTACGTAAGTTTTTTAAGAACAAATTTTAGTTTTGCTTGTTTAAAATGTAATCCAAAGTTATATATATCCGATTTTATAAAATTAGACAGTACAGAAAGCTAAAGTTTCTGGTGACACTATTCTCAACAGTTTGAGGCTGTTTCTTAAACTTTTTGTCTCAATATATGTAGTAGCAAAAGGGGGGGTTAGAGGAGGGGGAGGCCCTGGCTGGGCAGGTCAGTTGGTTAGAACATCGTCCTGATAAGCCAAGGTTGTGGGTTCGATCCCTGGTCAGGGTACATATAAGAGTCAGTTAATGAATGCATAAATAAGTGGAATAGCAAATCAATGTTTCTCTCTTTCTCTCAAATCAGTAAATAGAAAAATAAAAAAGACCAAAGATGAGTTCCTATTACACATGTTGTTTGCAACATATTTTTTCAGTTACCACTATATCTTGTATAGCTTTTCATAACATATGTAGATCTGTTTCATTTTTTTAAAAGGCTGTATGTAGTAGCTGTTGTATGATTGCATAATGGAAAACATCTCACTATTGTTGAACATTTGGATAAGTTTTTGTGCATACTTTTGGGAGATAAAATTCTAGAAATTGAAATATAAAAAGATAGCATCAATATCTATTTTCAACAATAATGTGAGCAGTGAACATGCTTGATTTTCAGTATTCTTGCTGACTGATTATCACTCTTTTTTTATTTAATATATTTTTATTGATTTCAGAGAGGGAGAGAGAGAAACATCAATGAGGAGAGAGATCATCAGTTGGCTGCCTCCTACATGTCCCCTACTGGAGATCGAACCCCCAAACCAGGCATGTGCCCTGACTGGGAATCGAACTGTGACCTCCTGGTTCATATGTCAACACTCAACCACTAAGCTACACTGGCCAGGCTGATTATCAGTCTTAATAATATTGGCCACTCCTGTAGAAGAAAAATACTGTCTCATTACTTTAATCTGCAGTTTTTGAGATGTTGCTGAAGTTGACCATCCTTTTCTATGCTTATTGGGCATTTGTATTCTCTGTGTTTATTTGTTCAACCAAATTTTATTAACTGTGTCATATATGGAAGGTTACTATGGCAGGAGCTGAGTCTATATAAAAGCAAATAATTAATGCATAGAACTTTATAGCTAAACAATGAACTACTAAATGACATTCTGCTAAATGCTTTGAAAGACACATGATTCTATAATAGAAGAATGACTGGAGATGGAATTGGTGCATAGAAAAGTAGGGAAGAGAGTGTTACAAATAGTGGAAACGCTACGTGTAATTTGAGGCAGGAAAGAGTTTGGTGTGATTAATGAAGTATGAAGGATCCTGGAATATAAAGAGATGAAATTGGGAGAAATAGCAGAGGCCAGATCAAGCAAAGCCTTGCAGTGGTGAAGAGTTTGGATTTGATTCTGAGTATAATGGGAAATATTTAAGAGTTTTAAGTAGAGCAGGAACATCATCTGTTGCTTTTGCCATTCTGTCAAGACTATATTGGAGGAAGGCAAGGGTGGAGGCAGGGAGACCAACTAAGGATGTTGTAGTAGCCTAGATGAGCCATGAAGGAAAGCTGAAACCCAACAGCATTGGATGTGAAGGGTGAATAGAAGCAGGAATTTTAGTAACAATGGGTTGGGAAGGCATGGACAGCTAAGTAGATAGTTGACTTGAGAAATGTCTTTTTTAGGAGAGCGGTTTGGGCTAAAGCAATATACTTGGGAATCATTTAGTTTTAGATGTTATGTAATACCAGGACAATAGATGTGATCACCTAGGGCAGTGGTCAGCAAACTCATTAGTCAACAGAGCCAAATATCAACAGTACAACGATTTAAATTTCTTTTGAGAGCCAAATTTTTTAAACTTAAACTGTATAGGTAGGTACATTGTTATTAATTTAATTAGGGTACTCCTAAGCTGGCCTTTGCTAAAAACGTCCTCAATCTGAGGGGTCGACCTCAGTGAAAGTACCCCCATTTCTTCTAATGCCACTTCTTCAAAATAGACTCGCCCAGGCCGAAAACCGACTTCTGTGCATGGGCCACGAAGTTTCAATCGCACTGTACCTGCGCTCCCGCACGTGGTATTTTGTGGAAGAGCCACGGTCAAGGGGCCAAAGAGCCACATGTGGCTCGCGAGCCGCGGTTTGCCACCACTGACCTAGGGAAAGCGATGAGGCCTTGACTATTCCAGCATATAGAGATCACGTAGAGGGAATATTTAGTGAAGGAAATTGTGAAGGAGGAGCCAGTGAGGTAGGTGAAATCAGTTAAAGTGGCAACTCTTTGGAGTTTGGCAGTAAAGAGGAGCTGAAGAATGGGGTAAAAGCTGCAGGGATTTATGGAATCAGTGGAGGGTTTTTAAAAGATGCTCATGGGAATGATTCAGTAGAGGGGGCAGATTGATGGAGAGGTAGATTGGCTAATAGAGTGGAGTCCCTAAAGTGAAGAGAGTGCAGATCCATAAGTGGAGGGTTGGCCTTTGATAAAGAAGGGCACTTCCTCAGTTCTAGCAGGCAGGAAGAAGAAGATATGGGCACATAGATGCAGGAAGGTTTGTAGATTTGGTGGTAGGAAGTTGGCCTAAGTATGTCCTTTGCCTAGTGTTTTTAAAAATCAGTTTGCTTATCTTTTTTTTTTCTTTTATTATTTAAAGTATTACATGTCTCCTTTTTCCCCAATTAACACCCCCCATCCACTCCCACCCCCGAGGGCAAGCCCCACCACCGCCCTAGTGTCTGTGTCCATTGGTTATGCTAATATACAAGCTTACAAGTCCTTTGGTTGCTCTTTAACTCCCTCCCCTGCCCCTTTTCCCTGGCTCTATTTTTGTTCATCAGTTTATGTTGATCATTATATCCCACATATGAATGAGATCATGTGATATTTATCTTTCTCTGACTGGCTTATTTAACTTAGCATAATGCTTTCCAGTTCCATCCATGCTGTTGCAAATGGTAAAAGTTCCTTCTTTCTTATAGCAGCGTAGTATTCCATTGTGTAGATGTACCACAGTTTTCTTATCCACTCATTTGCTGATGGGCACTTAGGCTATTTCCAAATCTTAGCTATTGTATCCTTTCTAATTGGTGTTTCTGGTTTCTTGGGATATATTCCTAGAAGTGGGATCACTGGGTCAAATGGGAGTTCCATTTTTAACTTTTTGAGGAAACACCATACTGTTTTCCACAGTGGCTGTACCAGTCTGCATGCCCACCAGCAGTGCAAGGGGTTTCCTTTTTCTCCACATCCTTGCCAGCACTTGTTGTTTGTTGATATGTTAATGATAGCCATTCTGACAGGTGTGAGATTGTACTGCGTTGTTGTTTTGATTTGCATCCCTCGGCCTTCTGTACGTCCTTGCTTATCTTTATTACAGATATTTATATGAACTATAGATATTCTTTATATGTATTGAAAATACTTTTTTCTATTGTCAGACTCTTAACACTCAGCCTGTTAAGTTTGGAAAACTGATTTCTGTCAAACAGTGCTTTAGTGTGACTTAAAAAATACTTTCAATTGCAGCAAAAATGGAAAGAGGTGGCACAAGATTGTACAAAGGCTGTTGAACTTAATCCCAAATATGTGAAAGCTCTCTTTAGACGTGCAAAAGCCCACGAGAAGCTAGACAATAAGAAGGAATGTTTAGAAGGTGAGGATATTTTTGTGTTTCCATGTGAAAATTAATGGTTTTGTAATCATTGGTAAATTTATATGGAACTGCCTGTAAGTAGAGAAATCAGTTGTATTTAAAAGTTCAACTCTTTCCCAATTGAGACTTTGTTTTCTGGTTTAAACTGAGATAGCTGATATTTGAGTATTATCTCTGTCCATTTATGGAATTAAATGATTATGATTCGGATTTAATACACCATACATTTTAAACTTGGCAACTAATGAGCATCTGTGTAATTCCATGAGTAAAAAATCAGGAGTTTTAGTAAGTGGTAGTTTTTCTAAGATTCTACATGTTTTCGGTTAATATCATATATAAATCTGAAATAATTTTGAAATGACTCATTAAAAGAAAAATTTTTTTGCCCTCAGTATTTTTCAAACATCATTTTATACCCAATTAGACATTATGTAATTAGTACGAAGTGAAACTGCCATTCTTAGTAAATACTATAAATATTCTGGTACCAAAATTTCAATTATAGTATAGACCACTGGGTTTTTTGTTTGTTTGTTTGTTTATACAGTACATTTGTGTTGGTATTTTTAAAATATGTTTTATTGATTTCAGAGAGGAAGGAAGCGGGAGAGATAGAAACATCCATGATGAGAGAGAATCATGGATCAGCTGCCTCCTGCAAGTCCTCCATAAGGGATCGAGCCCACAATCCGGGCATGTGCCCTTGACCAGAATCGAGCCTGGGACCTTTCAGTTCGCAGGCCAATGCTTTATCCACTGAGCCGAACCAGCCAGGGCTAGACCACTGGGTTTTAAAGTACATTCTTCTGGGTGACGTGGAGCTAAACCAAAGTGTAATTTCTAAATTACATCTAAAATTGTTCTCCACTGCACATTTAAGTCTTACATAATTAAAAACATAAAACACTCAGAAGATTTACCCATAATTATTATTTGTTTAAAAAATAGATATTATTTTATTGATTTCAGAGAAACAAAGGAGGAGAGAGAGAGAACCATCCAATTGGCTGCCTCCTACATGTCCCCAGTGCCTCCTACATGCCCCCTACTGAGCCCTCAACCCAGACATGTTCCCTAACTGGGTATCGAACCATTACCTCCTGGTTCATGGGTCGACGCTCAACCACTGAGCCACACCAGCTGGGCTAGCCATAATTATTATTATTTTTTTAAATTTATTTTTATTGATTTCAGAGAGGAAGGGAGAGGGAGAAAGAGAGATAGAAACATCAATGATGAGGGAGAATCATTGATGAGTTGCCTCCTGCCCACCCCCCACTGGGAATCAAGCCTGCAACCCAGGCATATGCCCTTGACCGGAATTGAATCTGGGACTCCAGTCCGCAGACTGATGCTCTATCCACTGAGCCAGACCGGCTAGGGCCATAATTATTTTTAATAGTATTATTACTTAAAAGTGCCGTTTTATTTTTAAAAACCTGCATTACCAAGTGAGAGTGGTTTACAGAACATTTCAGAAAAATTTGAAGTTTAATGGCAGTGATGGCGAACCTTTTGAGCTCGGCGTGTCAGCATTTTGAAAAACCCTAACTTAACTCTGGTGCCGTGTCACATATAGAAATTTTTTGATATTTGCAACCATAGTAAAACAAAGATTTATATTTTTGATATCTATTTTATATATTTAAATGCCATTTAACAAAGAAAAATCAACCAAAAAAATAAGTTCGCGTATCACCTCTGACATGCATGTCATAGGTTCACCATCACTGTTTCATGGTGTCATGAACTTTGGTGGTGGGTGGAAGTGTATTGCTTTGGAAAAGAGAATTCTGAGTTTTGAATGAAATCTTGAAGTTATTCATAGATAATTTATAAAGAGATGGTTAAATGGATTTTAATAGGAAAAATGGGATGGAAAAAAGACATTGATACTGGCACTAGCCAGGCTTTTGGGAGCATAATAGCAGAAAGACTTCTTTGGAAAAGAGAGGATTTGGAATTGTAAGAAACTGAGTTCAGAAAAAGGGAACAGCCATTGGTTTAGTACTTTGAATGAAAAGTTAGTAGATTAAGAAATCACTGATCTTTTAAATTACAAACTAATATATCTGGGAACTATGGCATGACCAGATGAAAATGGTATTTTGAAGTATATTTAATTGAGAGCCTTGGCAAGATGGCTCTGGAAATAATAACTCTGAGGCCTATAAAAAAGACCAGATGTGAGAGCGCCTCCTTATGTTAATTTAGCCTATAGTTACTGGCCCAAAGAGAATGCTCCTGAATTCGTTTTATTTGCTATGTAAAATGTTAGTGCAGTGCGAAACATCACAAATCATGCACTACAGTCTCTTTCACTTCCAGGTGAGGAAAGTGAATCCCATAGAAGTGGAGTGACTTTCTGAGCTTTGAATTTGGTCATAGCATATATAAAATAAAATTTAGGAATCAGTTTATTGAAAATGAAATCGATAGCCACATACAGCTATGAATTTAGTTTCGCTTTCTGTGTTAAGATTGTGCCCATTTGATGCTGCTAATCATCTTCACAATAATTTCATACTTTATTTTTCAATTATTTCTAGACGTCACTGCTGTGTGTATATTAGAAGGGTTCCAAAATCAACAAAGCATGCTGTTAGCTGATAAAGTTCTTAAACTTCTTGGAAAAGAAAAAGCCAAAGAAAAATACAAGGTAAATTAATCTGAGTTGGTTAATAGAGGGTGAGTATACATTGTGAGTGGTCATTTCTAATATATAGTGTTTAAGCTTGAGCATGATGGCAATGATAACTGCAATTAGATCTGGATTATATTTATTTTTCCTTTTAACTTGGTATTTTGTGGCTTATCTTTTTTAAAATAAGATGTAGGCTGTGTCCAATATTGTACCTGGAGAACATTGAAAGAATTTGTCTATATTAGGAATTGTCAAATGGCCCACAGGCCAAATCTCATCTGCCATTTGTTTTTATAAATGTTTTATTGGAACTCAGCTGCTCACACATTATTTTTGGCTGCTTTTAAGCTACCACAGCAGAGCCGAGTGGTTGTAACAGAGGCTGTCACAAATATTGACTAAATATTTACTCTCAGGCCTTTTACAGAAAAAAATTGCCAATTCCCGTTTTATATCATTAAAGTTTTTAAAAGTTGTACTATATAAGTAGCTATTAATTTTAAGCATTCAGTAATAGATAGTTTAATTCAAGAAACATTTATTGACCAAAGTTCCATGGTGGGCATTTTAGAAGAGTGGATACAAAGACTGGTCCTTGCCCTTTCAGAATTATAGTTTAGTGAGGGAAACCATGATAAGTATAAAAGGCATCATATGGTTAAGTGCCAGGGAAGAATATGAGTAGAGTGGTGTGGGAGTACCACAAGTCATCACTAAATATCCCTAGAGATTTTATGCTAAATGCCAGTAATTTAACAGTTGTTCCTTTTTTCTTTAATAATAACTTGCTTTTTTTAAAAAAAATTAATTTTAACAAGCTGTGTATATTTTTAACTTACCATTTTCAAATATTAGCTGAGTTAAACAGTTAAAACAGGTTTCATCATGGTAGAACTTTCATATGCTCAGATGAGTTATGAATCTGTAAGAGGAATATAGATGTAGTGGTTCTCAGTCTCTTTAAACTAATGATCCTTTGTCTCTCATTGAGCACTTTATAGAACTGGTGTTCCTTAAAACACTGTAAAATGGAATCTTAAAGGAACCTGGTTTCTTTGTGTTTACTTATATAATACTAGTGACCCAGTGCACGAAATTTGTGCACATTAAAAGGGAATTAATGAGAGGAAATATGTTAATATTGCTATTTGCCCTTTCTCTGTAATAGAAGTGTCAGAAATGAAAGAAAATTAGTAAAATGTATATGAAAATCTTCCTCCTGTCAGAGTTTGGGGCACACCACAGGAACCAGAGTCAAGTCCCCGCCCACCCACATGCACCCCAAAATTGCACGAGACCCAGACCCAGTTGGCCCCACCCCCGTCAAGCCCCACCGAGTGGGGGGCATGGCCTCAGGTTGTCTGGCCTGGCACTGGGGCAGGGGGCGCGCCTTGAGGTCCCCTGGCCCCGGGCCAGAGGACGTGGCCTGAGGTCCCCCATCAAGCCCTGCCAGGTGGGGGGGTGGGGTGGGGGCAGCCTGAGATCCCCTGTCAAGCTCCACCAGGCGGGGGTCGAAGCCTCAGGTGCCTTGCCCTGGCCCAGCGCCACGCAGCCTCAGGTCCCTGCTGATTGCTCATTAAGGCTCGTTATGGGAACTCGGCCTCCGCTGTGGGTGCAGCCATCTTGTCAGGATTCCCGCCTTTGCTGTGGGCGCAGCCATCTTGTTATAGCATGATGGTCAATTTGCATATTCCCTCTATTAGGTAGGATTACTGTTGAGGAATTGTACTGGTTGATTGAAGGGTGGTAAGAAAATACAAGGTAACCTACATTTACAGAGACTCCATATCATTTTCCAGGTGTATTTTCTAATCTGTTTGTATGTCACTTTATAAATCACAAAATACTTTATATTACTGTTTTGATTTTTACAACAACCCTGTAAGATAAATAAGGCAAGTATTTTGTTGCCATTTTAGAGATGAGAAAACTAAAAATGACAGGTGCAAGGTCACATAAGCTCATAAGTGGCAGAGCTAGAATTTACATCTTATTCCTTTGATACTTAAGTCCATTAATTGTAACATTGTCTTTATTTAAATTTGTATCCCTGGGGAAGGCAGGGAGGTGGTGATAGTTCTTTTCTACTCAGAAATAGAAAACTAAAAGACATTATTTACTTGGCCTCCAAAAGTGCTATTTAAATTTCTATTTAAGCTTTTCCCCTAAAATGCTAAATGATCATCACTACATATTCCTACTCGAAATCTTTAGTGAAATACTGACATTGGGCATATTTGTCACTTGATGGATTATCATTTTACTTAAATATTTATTTGTATAATCCTAAATTAAGGCATACTCAATCTCTCCCCCAGAGAGAGCAAAGATAGGTTTTTCCCTTTGATTTCCTATTTAGTTTTCTTCTTTTCCAATCTCATCTATCCTAGATTAGATCATCTACTTACATACCAGATTCCTTATTTTTCTCCTTCACACACAGATATTAAATCTATCAATATAGCCCAGCTCGCATGGCTCAGTGGTTAAGCATCGACCTATGAACCAGGAGGTCACAGTTTGATTCCAGGTCAGTGCACATGCCCGGGTTGCGGGCTCGACCCCCAGTTTGGAGCATGCAGGAGGCAGCCAATCAATGATCCTCTCTCATCATTGATGTTTCTATCTCTTTCTCCCTCTCCCTCTCTGAAATAATAATAAAAATATGTTCTCAAAAAAAATCTACCAAAATAACAATGATTTTTAAAAAAAAATATTTTATTGATTTTTTACAGAGAGGAAGGGAGAGGGATAGAGAGAGTCAGAAACATCGATGAGAGAGAAACATTGATGAGCTGCCTCCTGCACATTCCCCACTGGGTATAGTCCGCAACCAAGGTACATGCCCTTGACCGTAATCGAACCTGGGACCCTTGAGTCTGCAGGCCGATGCTCTATCCACTGAGCCAAACCAGTCAGGGCAGCAATGATATTTGATGTACATTTTAAAATACTATATTTTCATTTAAAAAATTTTTGGTTGAGTTTTGTACATAAAGGATCCAGTATATGTTATGAGAGCCCTTTGGCTGTTACTTCCTCTTCTCTCTTCTTTTAAAACTTTATCATCTTAGTTGTACTACAAGGAAAAACAAAATACTCCTATAATTATGAGATTACAAGTGAGTTTGCCATGCCAAAAAGCAATAATTTAAACAGGAAATGTGATCTCATCTGGCTTTCAATTGGCACCTACTCTAATGGAGATGTTCAGATGAAGTACAGAGGACCAATGTAGGCCCATGGGATGTGGACTTTACATGTCAACGCATTTGTAAGACATGGTCTTGAGTGGTAAACTGGGATGCTAGTCGTCTAGGACAGGGACCAGAAGGATATCATTTTAACTCAGCAGTTATTTGCCTCCTGGATTCCAGATTTTACCTTCTTTTACTTTTAGTGAATGGTGTGTATATATATATATTTCAGAGAGGAAAGGAGAAGGGAGAGGGAGATAGAAACAACGATGAGAGAGAATCATTGACATCCTGCCTCCTGCATGCCCTACACTGGGCATCAAGCCCACAACCCGGGCATATGCCCTGAATTGAACCACCTCCTGGTTCATAGGTCGACGTTCAACCATGGAGCCACGCTGGCTAATGAGTGGTTCTAAGAGTTCTTAACATTTTACATCTTTGGAGAGGGGAAATGTTCTCACTTAAAACCTGCTTTGAACAGCTAGGGCTGACAGCTTTACCATTTCTGCTGTCTTGTGGTATTGAACCTAATATTCCTCAGTTATTTAAAAAAGAGATTCAAATTTTTATGTCATTCTCAGTGTTGTAAAATGTGTGGTTTTTTGGTTTGTGTTTTCTCATTTTGATGTATTTAAACATAATTAAATTTCAGAATCGTGAACCTCTGATGCCATCTCCACAGTTTATCAAATCTTACTTCAGTTCTTTCACGGATGATATAATTTCTCAGCCCATGCTTAAAGGAGAGAAGTCTGATGAAGATAAAGACAAGGAAGGGGAGGTTTTAGAAGTGAAAGAAAAGTAAGTGTGTTAAGTATAGTATCTGCTTATTGTTTTGAGGGAGATTTTGTATATATATGTATAATGTGTTTCAATGATTTCACACAGAGAGGAAGGGAGAGAGAGAGAAACATCAATGATGAGAGGCAATCATTGATTGGCTGCCTTCTACACATCCCCTGCTGAATCTTATATGAATCAAGCCCTGACCAGGAATCGAACTGTGACCTGATTCTTGGGTCGACTCAACTACTGAGCCACACTGGCTGGGCTGGGGGAGATTTTTTGGTTTTGTTTTATTTGTGTGTTTTTTAAATATATTTTTATTAATTTCAGAGAGGAAGGGAGAGGGAGAGAGAGATAGAAACATCAAAGATGAGAGAGAATGATTAATCAGCTGCCTTCTGCATGCCCCACACTAGGAAATCAGGTCCACAACCTGGGCATGTGCCCTTGACCAGAATCGAACCTGGGACCCTTCAGTCCACAGGTCGACACTCTGTCCTCTGAGCCAAATCAGCTAGGGCTTGTTTTTGTTTTTTACGTGCATACATGGGGCTCTGACTCCTCTAAAAAAAATTTAAATATCATGATAGCATTGTTATAATAAAAATACTTCTCTTCTCACATGTGTCTATTACACCCTGAGAGTTATTTCGCTGGTGGTTTAAGGTTTTACTGGCAGGAGTTTGCCCTGCTTTTAGGGTCCTGGTGATATTCTCAAGAGAATTCCCAGTGAGTGAGGCGCTCAACTGTATTCAAATAGGGACACTAACTTAAAAATTATTATGTAGTTGAATATCCAAATGTTTTAGTGCTGGGAAGTTTATAATTTATAAACTGAGATGCTTAGGAGTACCCAAAAATGACTTTCTTCAAGGTTTTTTTCTGCTTGCCTGGGAAAATGCCATTCTCTAGGCTTCTTGTGTTTGCTCTTATGGAGAACAGTATAGGATGCCATGTTTACAACTGGAGATCAGTCTAGTACATAAGCCATCTAGCCTGCTTGTCCTTTTGTCTTTATCAGCACTTGTGTTTTGATGTTAAAGCTAGCTGTCCTCTCCAGTAAAAGGTACAATATTGTTACCAAAATAACATTTCTAAATGAATTTGGAAGAAAAGGAAATATTTTTATAGCAAAGCATAGTTTTGCATCTATAACAGATTAGAATGTTTAAGGAAACAGATTGCTCTTTGTTCTTTTTTTAAGAGTCTCTTAACCAGCTTTTTATTTTATTTTATTTTAATTCATTGGGGTTACTGGTTAATAAAATTATGTAGTTTTCTGGTGTACAATTCTATAATACATCATCTGTATATTGTATTGTGTGTTCACCACCCAAGTCAAGTCTCATTCCATCACCATTTATCCCCCCTACACCCCTTTCCACTCCTCTTTCCCTCTGGTAATCACCATACTGTCGTCTGTGTCTATGAATTTAGTGTTTTTTGCTTAATCCCTTTACCTTTTTCACCTGGCCCCCTGGCCTCCTTCCCTTCTAACATTGTCAGCCTGTTGTCTGTATTTTATGAGTCTGTTTCGGTTTTCTTTGTTAGTTTATTTTATTCATTAGATGCCATACGTATGTGAAATCATATGGCACTTTCTCTGACTGGCTTATTTCACTTAGCATAATTCTCTCTGGGTCCAGGAAAGAGATCTATCTCCCAATTTTTCCAGCATTGTTGGCCACCTTTTAAGGAGGAAGATACTATGCATAATGGTACTAAGATGTTCAAATTTTAGTTAGTTGATACCCAGTCTTTTCAGAAGATTGTTGTTGGGAAGTAAATGTTTAAAATGATGCCAATAATTTCCTCTTCTGGTTAGGAAAAAGGTCATTGTCCCAGAAAAACTACAATGATGTTAATACCATTATTCTAAAAGTTACATTGAGGTGGCAGGACATAGCTACCTCTCACCAGAACACTAGCTGGAATTGGGCCTAAGTTTTTGAATCCCATTTTACTCTGAACCTTAGCTTCATCATTTTTTAACTGGGGCTGATAATACTTTCCTTTGAGGGTTATTGTGAGGTTTTAAAGGTTATATTTGTGAGCATGCACTTAGGTTCTCAATAAGTAGGAGCCATTATTATTTCCATACTGATTTAATAATTATGTTTTCTTAGCCTGGTGACCTGAGGAACAAAACTAGAGTATAAGGGGGTTTTAGAATGTGACTGTAGGGAAGGTTATTAGCATAGAATTCGTAGGATTTTGACCAACAACTTTTTAAAAATATGTGTTTTTATTGATTTCAGAGAGGAAAGGAGAGGGAGAGGTATAGAAACATCAGTGATGAGAGAGAATCATCGATTGGCTGTGCTCTGCATGCCCAACACTGGGGTTCAAACCCGCAACCCAGGCATGTTCCCTGACTGTGAATCAAACCATGATCTCCTGGTTCATAGGTCAATGCTCAACCACTGAGCCACACCATCCAGGCTTGACCAACAACTCTTTTTTTTTTTTTTTTTTTTTTTTTTATTGCTTAAAGTATTACAAAGGGTATTACATATGTGTCCATTTTATCCCCCCGCCCTAGACAGTCCCCTAGCCTCCCCTATCCCACAATGTCTTATGTCCACTGGTTATGCTTCTATGCATGCATACAAGTCCTTTAGTTGATCTCTTACCCCCCTACCTCCTGCCCCGCAACCCTCCCCGGCCTTCCTGCAACCCAGGCATGTTCCCTGACTGTGAATCAAACCATGATCTCCTGGTTCATAGGTCAATGCTCAACCACTGAGCCACACCATCCAGGCTTGACCAACAACTCTTAAGTCATTTGCCAGTTTTCTCTATTCAAAATATATAACAAGTGGAATGAGAAAATGCACTTTCATTTACAATACTTTGTTTATAATACCCCTTATAAGCTCATCTATTATAAATTCCTTTTCAGTTCGAAGAAATCTCTCCTGTAAGCGCCCTTGATAATAGCCATCATCTTAGATGAATAATGATATTGTGGTCACTGAATTTTAAGAAGTAGGGAAGGATGTCTTTAAAGTTTCTTTTATGGGAGAATCTACCTTTAAATTTGCTTCTCTGATATTTCCACCTATTCTTTCTAGGTCTGTTCTTACGAGTAAAACAACACTTCTGGATGAGAGCCTTGCAGACATTTCTCTGCTTCTAGTCTTGTTCCCTTGCTCATCTTTACAAAGCACAGCTTTGGTCACACCTCTTCCCTGGGCTTCTGTGGCCCTGAGCTGACTTATTTCCTACTAGAGGCCTAGTGCATGAAATTCGTGTACTTGGGGGGCTGGGGAGTGGTGGAGGTTCAGCTTGGCCTGCGCCCTGTCTCAGTCTGGGAGCCCTCAAGGGATATCCAACTGCCACGGAGGCGGGAGAGGCTCCCCCACCACTGCTGTGCTTGCCAGCCGAAAGCCTGGCTTCTGGCTGAGCGGCGCTCTCCCTGTGGGAGTGCACTGACCACCAGGGGGCAGCTCCTGCATTGAGTGTCTGCCCCCTGGTGGTCAGTGCATGTGATAGTGACTGGTTGTTCCACGGTTTGGTCTATTTGCATATTAGCCTTTTTTATATAGTATTTCTCTATCCTTTCTGTTAGTCATAAAATAACTGTTGCATGCCATCAATGTGCCACAGATAAGAAAGTGAATAAGACTTGCCCTTTTCATTTCACGTGTTTAAATGTTGAAGCTTGGGCAGTAACCGCAGGTTTCTGCCACTGACTGCTGATTCCTTTTTAAAAATTCTTCAAGGCATCAAGAAAATCTCAGTCTGTATCAAGATTCCCATTACCTCCTGCCCTGCTGCTGTCCCACACTGGCCGACTAGCTCGTTAAGGGGAAATGGACATTTTCTTAACTCAGGTGTACTAAATGTGGCAAGTTTTAGCATTTCATCTTCTCTTCGTAAATGATTTCCTATGTTCATTTTTATTTTCAGCTCTGGATATTTAAAGGCCAAACAATACATGGAAGAAGAAAACTATGACAAAATCATAAGTGAATGCTCAAAAGAAATAGATGCTCAAGGCAAATACATGGCAGAAGCATTATTACTACGAGCTACCTTCTACCTGCTTATTGGCAATGCCAACGCAGCTAAACCAGATTTAGACAAGGTCATCAGTTTGAAAGAAGCTAATGTGAAGGTACGTTTTTAAAATGTGCTTTTGTGCGTGTGCAAAAATTAGTAAAAATGAGGCTTTTGATGTTTTGCCAAAATTTTGGCATTTCAGTTGTCATTCTCCAGAAGGCTACTTTTGCTTTGGAAGAAACTACACCTAATGAAGATTGAGTTGGTGTAATGAAACTGCAATATAAATATCAATGATGTTTATTTTTAGCTAGGAAAGGAAAAACATTTTTTTCTAGCATTTGGTAGCTTCACTTCTCGTTTGTAGCACTGCCTATGTCAGTGATGGCGAACCTTTTGAGCTCGGCGTGTCAGCATTTTGAAAAACCTTAACTTAACTCTGGTGCCGTGTCACATGTAGAAAATTTTTGATATTTGCAACCATAGTAAAACAAAGATTTACATTTTTGATATTTATTTTATATATTTAAATGCCCGTTAACAAAGAAAAATGAACCAAAGAAATGAGTTCGCGTGTCATAGGTTCGCCATCACTGGCCTATGTAATGGACTATATTTGGTCAGGATAAGGGTGTAGGTAATGCTGTAAGTAATATGCTACAGGTAGTACAAGGTTTAAAGTGCATATAATAAAAATAAACACATTTAATAATATATTCTGAAAGATTTTATTATGATGCCAGTAATTTTTTATCTTTAACATGAAGAAAAATAGAGGTTCTAAAAATATGATATAAGTACTGAAATATACCAGAAGTTTTGCAGTGTGTCATTGGAATAGCTTTTCATTTTCCAAGTATTCTTATGTGTATGTAGTTATTTTCATAACTACATACTGTTGAATTTTGAGAGCTCTCTACTAAGTATAACATGACAGAACTCAGCCACCAGCTAACTCTCTTCCTTACCAATTTGTTCACTCTGACCTGTTTCCTCATGAAATTAAGTAAACTCTGGCTTTTTCCACCTACAAAGAAATCATTCATTTATAAAAGTTGTTATAAAGACTTAAGTATTTGTCAATAAATATCTAAACTTTTTGTAAACAGAAGTAATTATAACAGTATTTGTTTAGTTTCTTTTAAAATGAAATTTTAAGCCAAACCGGTTTGGCTCAGTGGATGGAGCGTCGGCCTGCAGACTAAAAGGTCCCAGGTTCGATTCCGGTCAAGGGCATGTACCTTGGTTGCGGGCACATCCCCAGTAGGGAGTGTGCAGGAGGCAGCTGGTCGATGTTTCTCTCTCATCGATGTTTCTAACTCTCTATCCCTCTCCCTTCCTCTCTGTAAAAATCAATAAAATATATTTAAAAAATAATAATAATAAAGTAAAATAAAATGAAATTTTAAGATTGAAGATACCCTAAGTAATATTTTTAATTTTATTTCCTAATGATTTTCCTACTGATTACAAATATGTTGGTAGGTGTTCTTGTTAAAATGTGGGAACATTCCTGTTCATTTCATTCAGGAAGACATGTAGTTTTGTCTTGAAAGAGTTTTGGGGATCTCTGTATCTTGCTTTATTATGATCATGACTTTTTGTTTGAATGGTAAATAGTATTGATGTCTATCATATGCCATGTACAAAAATTAACTCAAATGAATCAAAGACCTAAATGTAAGAGCTAAAACTATAAAACTCTAAGAAAAAAAACAGAGGACATCTTACTTTGGATTATGTAGTGATTTCTTAGTTATGACACCAAAAACACAAGTAACAGCAATAAAAAAAAGACTTCATCAAAATTTTAAACTTTTTTGATTGAAAGGATGCCATCAAAAAAGAGAAAACACATTGCACAGAATGTGAGGAAATAAAAATTCTATATCTGATAAGGGGCGTGTATCCAGAATTATTAACTCTTCTTACTAAAACAATTCAATTTAAAGACAGGTAAAGGCTCTGAATAGACATTTGCTCTAAAGAATCTATAATAATAAAAGCATAATATGCTAATAAGACCGGATGTCCTTCCTTCTGGACAAAGCCACAGTGGCGGGCCAAGACCCTTGCACAAATTTCGTGCATTGGGCCTCTAGTATATTAAAATGGCCAATATGGACAGGAAAAGATGCTCAGCATCATTAACGCTTAGGGAAATTCAAATCCAAATCACAATGAAATTTCACTTCACACTCACTAGGATGAATATAGTCAGAAAGTGGGCAGTGAGAAGTATTGATTAGGGTTGTAGAGAAATTGAAACTGTCATACATTGCTGGCAGGAATGTAAAATAGTAAAAATCCTTTTGGAAATTAGTTTGGGAGTTTATTATTGATAAGTTTAACAGAGTTACAATATGACCCAGCAATTCCTCTCCTAGACATATACCCAAGAGAAATGAATATATATGGCAACACAAAAACTTGTACATGAATGTTCATAGCAGCATTATTCATGATAGCCAAAAAGTGGAAGCAGCTCAAATGTCCATCAAGGGATGAGCTGATAAAGAAAAGTGGTATACAGTCTATAATAATAAAAGCATAATATGCTAATTAGACCAGATGTCCTTCCGGATGACCTTCCATATGAAGCCGGGGTCCCGGGTGCCAGAGGGAAGCCGGGGGAAGGAAGGCCTACTCTTGCGTGAATTTCATGCATTGGGCCTCTAGTAGAATAATATTCAGCCATAAAAAAGAATGAAGTACTGATAACATGCTATAACACAGATGAACATTGAAAATATTATACTAAGTGAAAGAAGCCATTCCATTTTAATGAAATGTCCAGAATATACAAATTCATAGAGATAGAAAGTAGATTGATGGATTAGAGAGGAAATGAGAAGTAACTGCTAATATGTATAAAGTTTCTTTTGGGGATGATGATGAGATTCTGGAGTTAGATAGTGGTGATAGTTGCACAACTCTGAATATACTAAAAACAACTGACTTTAAATGAGTGAGCTTTGTGGTATGTGAATTATATCTCAATACAGCTGTTTATTTGTTTGTTTGTTTTTAAACTACATTGGAATAAAAAGTAGTAATGATGACCCTTTTCTCATTTGTGGCATGTAGCTTCGAGCAAATGCACTCATCAAAAGAGGCAGCATGTACATGCAACAGCAGCAGCCTTTATTATCCACTCAGGATTTTAACATGGCTGCTGACATTGATCCTCAGAATGCAGATGTTTATCATCACCGAGGACAGGTACATCTATTTTCTTACCAGGAGATCTGACCTTGGATTGTGGAATTTGATACCCATATTTGAGAATGTCTTAAAGTTTTCTTATATCAATTCTGATAGTTCTGAACAAATTATCACAGTCTCTTGAACATTTGTCCTTATAATATCAGTATTTACTTATTAAAAAGAAGAAAAGGAAGGCTACAGATACTGGCTTGCCAGGTTAAGTTTGTTTTTCAGGTGTTTCTGATTCATAGGTTTTCAATGAGTAGAACATTAAAAACATTTAATGAGCATTTTGAATTAATGCCAGAAGCAACACAATGGTTTTTGTGGGCTTCTTGCTGTCAAGAAGTAGTTAGCCTGAACTATCCAAACAATACCAAAAAAAAAAAAAATCTTATTGGAGATTTACAACCTGCATATTTGGTTTTTAGTAAAAAAAATATATATATATATATTGAAGTAAACAGTTCCCAGTTTTAGCCTCATCTGGGGAAAGCATGGCTTTTTAATCTGCTTGTTTAACATGACTTGGTGGAATGCATTATGGTAGAAAGTATGGACAATCCATATAATAACAGAAATGCTGAAGTTCTAATGGAGAATTGTACCTAATATTTCTGTCTGAAGAAGGATTTGAAGAAGAAACCCTTAAATGACATTCTTAAAATTCCTGACATTTTGATCCTTGCTGATAGTATCTTAAGGTTAATTTGAAAGGTAATTATTGGATGATCTGATTTGCTTTGAAATGTGAAAGTACAGAAATGTCTATCTTTCTAGAAGAAAAGGTTTCTTGTTTAAGAGTGGTCAAAATTGCAGTGCAGAAATGGTGGGCTTATAGTGCTTTTTAAGAAATTGGACACTAGTTTTAAGTTGTAAAAGCTTTCCTTTAAAATTACAAGATTTTCTAGTTTATTGTTTTAGAAAGTAATTCTATATTGAATAATTACTATATGCTATTAGCATTATATTGAGCTTTGATAAGAGACAGTACGTCTCTTAACTGGGGGTGGGTGCACTTATTATTTTGAGTTGTGTTTAGTTATGTGTGTGGTGTTTTTTTTCTTAGCTGAAAATACTGCTTGATCAAGTTGAAGAAGCAGTGGCAGATTTTGATGAATGTATTAGATTAAGACCTGAGTCTGCTCTGGCACAAGCGCAGAAATGCTTTGCATTGGTAGGTTCTGCTTTCTTTTTATATTCCTACACATCATTTTTACTTCCCTCATTGTCTATAAAACAGGGGTGGGCAAACTTTTTGACTCGAGGGCCACAATGGGTTCTTAAACTGGACCGGAGCAAAAGCATGGATGGAGTGTTTGTGTGAACTAATATACATTCAAAGTAAACATCATTACATAAAAGGGTACGGTCGTTTTGTTTTGTTTTTAGTTTTATTCATTTCAAACAGGCCGGATCCGGCCCGTGGGCCGTAGTTTGCCCACGGCTGCTATAAAATCATCTTTTTCTTTTTCCCCCCAAAGGATACCCATAGGGGGAAAACAAGTTAGTTTAGAGAAAGAAATGTATACATACATGAATTGAGATACTCCTTCTGTATTTCTCTGGTTGTATTATTTGAGTTCATCTTGATAGATGTTTATCCCTGATTTTCATGCTCCCCTGTATAGCACTGTTCTTCCTGTTCCTCCACCACAAACTAGTACAGAGAACAAAAGCATTTTGAGGAACTAATAACTGCAATCATGACACTACATTAACTGCAATTTCATCTCGCCTTTGTAAAGCTATTAATAATCAGAATGCTGAAAATCAAGTAAAATAATTCAATTTATAGTGAAATGAGGTACTTCAGTAGCTCTTGTGAACCATAGGAAATGTCCAAACCTGTAAGAATTTTTATGAGTTTATTTGAGCCAAACTGACAATTGCCAGGAAGCAAAATCTCGACGGATTGAGAAAATGCTTTGGAAAATGGCGGTTTTGCACCTTCCTTGCACATTACCATATGGGTTACATGGAATTCATTGATGATAGATGAAGGAGGCTGGAGAAAACAAAGTGGGGAAACCTCGGGGATTAGATGAAAAGTAAAATGATAGACACATCTTGTACATAGCTGGATACAGGGTAGTTAAGAGTCAACAATTAACATGATGCTTGAGGGATCCAGAAAAAAGGAAATTACTTTGTTATTGCAAAGGCATGTTTGTCAGCATGCTATTCTAGATGCAGAGAAAACAGACAAGCTCAGTTAAGGTGAAGATTGACCTTTGTTAGGGAAAAATACCATCTTTGGACATGACTACCCACCATAAACTGCTTTTAATTAGAAAGTTTTAATTTCAGACCATCCTATGTGGATACTTTAGGTCTCACACAGGCCTCCCCTGAGCTCGCCAGGTTTAGTGTGTGGCTCCTTTTCGTCCACACTCTATAGTTTGAGTCCTAAAATAATTTTCCTTTTAAAGAAAGAAATTAGATCGCAAACACATTTACAGTTAGGCACTGCTTAACAATAAGGATACATTCTGAGGAATGTGTCTTTAAGTGATTTTATTATTGTGCGAATATCACAGAACATTTACACAAACCTAAGTGGCATAGCCTACGAAACACCTAGGCTATATGGTATAGTCCAGCGGTCAGCAAACTCATTAGTCAGCAGAGCCAAATATCTACAGTACAACGATTGAAATTTCTTTTGAGAGCCAAATTTTTTAAACTTAAACTATATAGGTAGGTACGTTGTTATTAACTTCATTAGGGTACTCCTAAGGCTTAGGAAGAGCCACACTCAAGGGGCCAAAGAGCTGCATGTGGCTCACGAGCCGCAGTTTGCCGACCACTGGCATAGCCCATTCCTTCTAGGCTGCAAACCTGTATAGCAGGTTACTGAATAAAAGAACATGGTGTTGAATCAAGCACCAGAAAATTATGCAGTTAAGAGATGCAGTAAATTTGAGGTCTATGAGGCTGCACCCTGCATAACACAGCATATGTACTTTTGACAGCAAACTTTTTTAAGTAGAAAGACTGTACTCAAAGATAATGATAAAGTGTTTAGTCTTTTAAATATATAAATCAGTAACATAGTTGTTTATTATCAGTATCAAGTAGTATGTGCTGTACGTAATTGTATGTGCTATACTTTTACATGCCTAGTAGCACAGTAGGTTTGCCTACACCAGCATTGTCACAAATGCGTAATGCATTGCATCATGATGTTGGGGTGGCTAAGTCACTCGGCAGTAGGAATTTTTCAGCTCCGTTATAATCTTATGGGAACCATCATCGTAATTGCGGTCTGTCCTGTATATTATAGGTGAAAAATGATATTAGATAAAGTAACATAACATTGTAGTAAAGTGATAATAAATAAGGTTTAAAACTCCCCCATATATATGCAAAGTTAAGTTCTGACACATTAGAATGCCCCCTTCTCATGAACATCCTGGAATCTGTATGTCAGCAAAGTTTAGATTAGATGCCCTGCTGCTGAGCCGTTTTCTTGGAACCCTTGTGTTTATTATTTATTTATTTTTGATAAGTCTCACCCAAGGACATTTTTCCCTTTGCTTTTTAAAGGGGGAGAGGGGGGAGAGATTGAGAGAGACATTGATGTGAGAAAGACATATCAATTAGTTGCCTTCCATACATGCCCTGACCAGAGCTGGGGATTGAACCTGCAATTCAGGTATTGCTCTTGACTGGGAATTGAACCCATCACCCCTTCTTGCACGGACCTATGCTGTAACCCAGGGGTGGGCAAACTTTTTGACTCGAGGGCCACAATGGGTTCTTAAACTGGACCGGAGGGCCGGAACAAAAGCATGGATGGAGTGTTTGTGTGAACTAATATAAATTCAAAGTAAACATCATTACATAAAAGGGTATGGTCTTTTTTTTTTTTTTTTTTTAGTTTTATTCATTTCAAACGGGCCGGATCCGGCCCGCAGGCCGTAGTTTGCCCACGGCTGCTCTAACCACTGAACAACACCAACCAGGGCTTCCTTGTTACCCTTGTAGATGCAGCAAATTATGTTAGCATAACACCTGTCTTTCTGGAAATATCTATGTAATTTTGTGTAACTTTTATAATATGTTAACATTCCATGAGTTTTGAATCCTTGATTTAACAGACTTGTTTTGATTTTTTAAACAGTATCGCCAGGCATATACAGGAAACAATTCTTCACAAATCCAAGCAGCTATGAAAGGGTTTGAAGAGGTCATAAAGAAATTTCCCAGGTGTGCTGAAGGCTATGCACTATATGCCCAGGTAAATGTGATTTTTCATACTTTATAAGTTGCCAGTCCTTTTTTTAAAAGATCTGTACTTATGTGCTGAATCCCAGTAGAGAAATCAGAAAATAATGCTTTGTTTCTTCTGTGATTCTCTGGGGCCCCCACGGTGGTCCCGAACCCCTTCAAGAGGGGCTCCTATGTGACACAATTTGAAAACCATGACTCTAAACTCATAATGTAGGGAAGTGTAAGCAGAACATCTCCCTTATGTTTTTATTTAGATTGGATTTATCAAATTAACTTAGGGAAATTTACTATATTCAGTTGGAAGAGAAAATCTCTATGGAAGCCTTTTGTTTCTATTTGATCATTATCCTTTTAAATGATTAGATAGGCTGTAACAGTTCATTTTAACTCCTCTTTGGTTTGTCTAAAATTCTTGGCTTAGGATTGAAGCTTTGGGGGAAGTATGATTTAACTTTGAATTATTTCCACTGTATAATTGAAATCTTTGAAAACTTATTAATTTTAAAAAGTTGCTTTTGGTGTCTGCATAAATCATCTATCTCAATACTCTATATGATTTCTCTTTTTTTATTCCAAAGAAATGTTGTCACACCCACCCACACATCTCAGAAATAGAAAACATTTAAAAATGACCATCTGTGGTAGATTTCTACCTCCAAACCATTCTTAGGTTGCTTGTTTTTCTTTTAAAGTTCCTTCATGCAATCTTCAGTTAAGTTTGGGGTGAAACTTTCTTTGAGGATTTATTGTAAGGGAATGTGAGAAGACTGATTTGTGTTGCATCTATTCTTTAATAGTTCTACATATCCATGTATTATCAGAAATTGAAATTCTCTAATAACTCTCTGGGGCATGAAGTAAACACAAGTTCTTTAATCTCATTTAGAAGTAATCTTATCTCTTCAGTCTTTGTCCTTACAGTTGCTAGCAGGGTGGTGATAATAAAAAAAAGGAAACAATAGTTGCTGACCACCTGCTCTATATTCATTGTGAAAGCATCCTATATAATAAAAAGCTAATATGCAAATTGTCCCCTTGGGAGTTCAACCAGGAGTTCTATTGCTCGCTATGATGTGCGCTGACCACTAAGGGGCGGGGGCTGTAGAACATGGTAGGTGACCAGCTGCAGTGGCAGGCTGAGGGAGCAAGGGAAGGAGGAGGCGGGGAGGCCGGGAGGTGAGGAACCTGATTGGACCTGATCGCCCACCAGGCCTAGGGACCCTACCTGTGCATGAATTTCATGCACTGGGCCTCTAGTGTACTATATAAAATTTTGTAGAATGTATAGAGTTTAAAATAAGAAAATGCACATTTTATTTTTTTTTAATTTTTTTTTTTTAAATATATTTTATTGATTTTTTACAGAGAGGAAGGGAGAGAGATAGAGAGTTAGAAACATCGATGAGAGAGAAACATCGATCAGCTGCCTCCTGCACATCTCCTACTAGGGATATGCCCGCAACCCAGGTACATGCCCTTGACCGGAATCGAACCTGGGACCTTTCAGTCCACAGGCCGATGCTCTATCCACTGAGCCAAACCGGTTTCGGCAGAAAATGCACATTTTAATTGTGTAATCTTTGTATTGAATAGGTACACTTGGGTTTATGCCTTTTTTTTTTTTTTTAAATATATTTTATTTATTTCAGAGAGGAATGGAGAGGGATAGAGAGATAGAAACATCAATGATGAGAGAGAATCATTGATCAGCTGCCTCCTGCACAGCCCCCACTGGGGATGGAACCTGCAACCCAGGCATGTGCCCTTGACCAGAATCGAACCCGGGACCTTTCAGTCCACAGGCCAATGCTCTATCCACTGAGCCAAACTGGCTAGGGCGGGTTTATGCCTTTTATTAGGAACAAAGCAGAAGGGACAATACCATCAGCATCAATGAAATGAAGTTTTAAAAAGCCTTTTTGATGCAGATTTCTATAATCAGCTAAAAGAACAAAGGCCACTGAATAGCTTTTTAAAAAAACCTATTTTAGGAACAGCTCTCACAGAGCTTTCTTAATTGCATTGTCTTGTCACTGTGCTACCTTCAAAATAGGTTTTGGCTTACTTGAGCTATCTTTATTACCACTAGTATCATCACAGTCTGTGCTAAAATGTCTATCCTTTGGTTTTCTTATTTTTGCTTCACTATATACATAGTTATATGTCATTTCATATATGTACTAGAAGCCTGATGCATGAATTTGTGCAAGAGTAGGCCTTCCTTCCCCTGGCTGCCGGCACTGGCTTCCCTCTGGCACCTGGGACCCGGGCTTCCCTACCAGCCCCAGTTTCATCCAGAAGGACGTCTGGTCTAATTAACATATTACCTTTTTATTATTATAGACTAGAGGCCCAGTGCAAGAAATTCATGCACTGGGGGCGGGGTGTCCCTCAGCCCAGCCTGCATCCTCATCCCTTGGGGGATGTCCAACTGATGGTTTAATCATGAGATCAGGCCTAAACCGGCAGTCAGACATCCTTCTCACAATCCAGGACAACTGGCTCCCAACCACATGACTGCCCCTAACTGCTTCTGCCTGATCACCCCCTAACCACTCCCCTGCCAGCCTGATTGACACCTACCTGCTCCCTTGCTGGCCCGGTCACCCCCAGCTGCCCTCCCCTGCCAGCCCGGTCACCCCCAACTGCCCTCCCCTGCCGGCCCGGTCACCCCCAGCTGCCCTCCCCTGCCGGCCCAGTCACCCCCAGCTGCCCTCCCCTGCCGGCCCGGTCACCCCCAGCTGCCCTCCCCTGCCCTCCCCTGCCAGCCCAGTCACCCCCAACTGCCCTCCCCTGCCGGCCCGGTCACCCCCAGCTGCCCTCCCCTGCCGGCCCGGTCGCCCCCAACTGCCCTCCCCTGCCCTCCCCTGCCGGCCCGGTAGCCCCCAACTGCCCTCCCCTGGCCTCCCCTGCCGGCCCGGTCGCCCCCAACTGCCCTCCGCTGCCGACCATCTTGTGGCGGCCATCTTGTGATGACATGAAGGTGGCCATCTTTGTGCGAGGGCATGACAGTCAATTTGCATATCACCGCTTTATTATTTAGGGTATGCACACTATTTACATATATAAAAGCCTAAGCTACCATTACAACTAGTTGACCAGTCACTATAACACACACTGACCACCAGGGGGCAGACACTCAATGCAGGAGCTGCCCCCTGGTGGTCAGTTGCTCCCACACCGCCGTTCAGCTTCTGGGTCAGTGCGCTCATGGCTGGCGAGCACAGCTGTGGGGCAGGAGCCTCTCCCGACTCCTCGGCAGCGCTGAGTGGCAGTGGCAAGTGCAGCGGGCTAGGATGAGCGCGAGCGGCGCGGCACCGGCTTGGGCTCCTCCCTGGCTGCCTGCAGGGCTCAGGCCTAAACCAGCAGTCGGACATCCTCCAAGTGGCCCCAGATTGTGAGAGAGCACAGGCCAGGCTGAAGGACCCCTCTCCCCATGCACGGATTTCGCGCACCGGGCCTCTAGTAGTTATATATAATTAATCCTTACCTGAGGATATTTTTCCCATTGCTTTTTAGGGAGGGAGGGAGAGAGGGAGTGACATGGTATAACTTAAAAAAAAAAAAAAAAAAAAGCACTCAAAGTTACAGTTTGAGTATGATCTGGTATCCACATAACCAACCCTTTGGTTTCTGCCATGGGATTTGCTTTAAAATAGTTCATTGTAACTGCTTTTTTTTTTTTAATCAATTTTTAAAGAATGACTGATGACATTTAACACACATACCTGAATTTAACCTTCCAAATGAGTATTGCCTTTAAATTCCTTTAGGATATATTTTGATAAGTTATGAATAAGTGACATAAATGTACCTATGAAAATCTGATATTAGAACTGGCACCAAGAATGGGGTTTTGTGTATTTCACATTTACCACATTGTTTGCTATTGTATGTAACCACTTGTCAAAAATAGTGGCCAGTTAAGATTTCATGTTTATAACATAATTAAGTTGTAACATTTTATATCCTCCAAACATCATAATTTGTAAAGAGATGGATAAAGGAAATAAATTTTCATAATTAATAAGCAATATACTTTTAACTGTTTAGGTTGACAGTTATGTTAATATAACTGAAGTATCTCCTCACCTAGGCATTAACAGATCAACAACAGTTTGGTAAAGCTGATGAAATGTATGATAAATGTATTGATTTGGAACCAGATAATGCCACAACATATGTTCATAAAGGGTATGTATTTTTATGCTTCTGTTTGTTCCAGTAAAAAACCAAATTTCTTGCATAGTAATAAGATGGATTTCTTTTGGTCACTGAGGAAAGTACTGTAGTATAGAGTATCACTGAGTTAATAAATTTATTAATGGTATGGATGCTTCACTGTTAATTTTTTAAATTTTACTTATGTTTCATTCTTGTATAGCAATCAATAAATGTACTATTTCACTTTAGCTTAAGGATTTCAGTTCTGAACATCCTATCAAATGTTACTTGTGTCAAAATCGGAAACATGGTAGGTACTTGAACTATAATAAAAAAGAAACTTCACTTAAATTTATACAAAGTAAAACAATTAAGCTACTAGGTAATTTATAGAGCCCAAACTATTGGACACTTTGTCCTTTCTTTTTTATTGAGATATAATTGACATAAGATATACTAGTTTCAGGTGTACAATGTAATAAATCAGTATTTATAGTTATTGTCAAATTATCACAGTAAGTCTAACAGGTCTTTGTACATAGTTACAATTTTTTTTTTTCTTGTAATGAGAACTTTTAAGATCTGTCTTAGCAGCTTTCAAATACACAATACAGTATTATTAACTATAGCCGCCATGCTATATATTACATTATCATGATTTACTTATTTTGTAACTAGAAGTTTGTACCTTTGACTCCTTTCATCAGTTCCACTCACCCCTCATGCCTGCCTCTGGCAGCCATCACTCTGTTCTCTGTATGAGTAGGTTGGTTTTGGTTGGTTGTTTGTTTTTCTTTTTTAGAATCTACGTATAAGTGAGATCATACAGTATTTGACTTTCTGTCTGACTTATTTCATTTAGCATAATGCTCACCATCCATGTTGTTGCAAATGGTAGGATTCCTTTTTCTTTTAATTTTTTTTTTTAATATATTTTATTGATTTTTTTACAGAGAGGAAGGGAGAGAGATAGAGAGTTAGAAACATCGATGGGAGAGAAACATCGATCAGCCGCCTCCTGCACATCTCCTACCGGGGATATGCCCGCAACCCAGGTACATGCCCTTGACCGGAATCGAACCTGGGACCCTTCAGTCCGCAGGCCGACGCTCTGTCTACTGAGCCAAACCGGTTTCGGCAGGATTCCTTTTTATGGCTTAGTAATATTCCTCGTGTGCGTATGTGTGTGCACCAAGTTTTTTTTATCCATGCATCCATCAATGGACACTTAGGTTGTTTCCATTGACACTTTTTTCATAAGGAATTTAGAATACAAAACAAATGTAAATTGAGAAATAAAAACAATTTGCTGATTATATACTGTTTTAGGTTTTGCTTTCTTTTTGTAAATAAAAATTCATTGAGGGCAGAAATTGAGTCATATACTTATATTCTTGTTGCTATTGGCCCATGGTCAGTCTGACTGCCTTTTTGCATTTGCAGTTTACTTCAACTTCAGTGGAAGCAAGACCTGGATAGAGGTTTGGAGCTTATCAGCAAAGCTATTGAAATTGACAGTAAATGTGATTTTGCCTATGAAACCATGGGAACTATTGAAGTACAAAGGTAACTTCCAAAGTCTGTTCTTAGGAAATTTAAGGCAGCTCTGTAGATATTTTATCTTTCCATCCTTCTCATTACAGATAAGATATTGTCAATATCCATTAAATTTTTAAGTATTTAATACGTTATGCCTTTTGAGGCGCGCTTCCCTCAAAACTATGCAACTTTTATTTGCCTTATTGTATTCTTTTTCCAATTTAAAAGTTGTTTAAGTCAAGCATATGTATTACAAAGGAAAATTTCATCTTTTCCAATTGCTGTTGTGTGTTCTTTCCTCTTTGGGAAAAAAAAAAAGCCTGCAGAAGGCTTAGGCAGTACAGTGTAGCAGCATAAGGAATGGTAGCCAGGTGGCCAAGAGAACTAGAACCTGTTACAGAGAAGCAACCAGCCAAGTTGCAGGATCAGCTCTGAGCCTGAGTTTTCTTTAAAATAGGGACTTAGGTAGGATTTTCTTGCAACTCTTTTCATAACTTCTTGTTTTGTGTATGTTTATCCAGAGTTGCACTTGAGATCCACCATTAACAGGTGACAACTGCTTGTGCCATAGAGTTCAGTGTATGCCGTCTCTTAATACTGAAATTGCCATCCACTTGAGTACCTACTCTGTGGCCAGGTACAGAACCTTAGGTGCTTTCCAAATATTATTTCAACTAATCTTTACACCAGTCTTTATAATTAGAAGCTGGAGATTATATGGTTCTTAGTGTAATTGAAGAATATAGAAACTGATGCCCAGATGGGTTAAATTGACAAGTTACACAAGTGAGCCAAGTAGACAGGAAATGAGCCTGTCTTTCACTGACATCAAAATAACTGATCTTGCCACTTTGCTTGTTAGGAATCAGAAGGAGTTGTAATTTTCTGTCATTCAGCCCCTCCTGGGGTCCTCTGTCTGCTCAGAATAGGCAGATTATAAATACAGGCTGATGAAAATTTTTATGGTTCTTTTTAACTATTCTGTACTAATGGTTGCATGTAAATATTAAATTATTTCTTAATTGTCAATTTGTTAATGTGAATAAAATATTCTTGAATTAGAATAGGTTGGGAAAGCAGTTCTTAATCTTTTTGAGCAGACCTGTGGATTTTTCTTATGATGACGCACATATAAAAGCACTTTGCATTTAAGTTGTTCATAAAGCCTGGGTTAAGGACCCCTGGGTTATGAGGTTTGATGGCTTTTATTTGTGAGTTAATTTTAACTTTTAAGAAATTCATTCTAAATCCTGTCTTAAAAATAAAGACATATGAATGGAGTGAAATTGCTCATTACCCTATGATTTAGCAAACCTGTTGTCTACCTGATATCTGAACTCAAAGTTTTGTTGTTGTTGTTGTTAATGTCTATCATGTAGTCATCTGTTGGAATAGGAGGTTAGTCGCCCCACAGGTACACTGTACTTCTTAGTCTAACTGGCATATATAGAGTAGGGACTTAATATTTATTGTAAGATGATATGCATGTATTATATACATAGCTAATACTAGTTACTTAACACAGCTCTTGGTTTTTAGTAAGTTTATATAAAACCAAATCACACTTAGATTGTAAACGGTAAATTATATTTTTTGACCAAGCATATTTACCCATTTACTAAAAAATAAGATACTAATTATCAGGTATTGTATTAAGTTCTAGAAATTGAGGGGTGTCCACTAAGGATCTACTAGGATTGTGGTGTATATACATCTATTTATGCATAGAATGACAACAGAACTATGGGAACACTGGGGAGGGAGTGGAAAATAGTTTTCATGAAAATGCTAGATTTGAACTGTGCCTTAGAAAGGTGAGGAGCTGACTAGAATCAAGCAAAGAGGCAATAATGCAGGTATGGGTGTATGTAGCACAGTCAAGGAATTCAGGTAGACCTGTGTGACTGGAGTGAGGTGCATAGGATGGGAACATGGTGGTAAGAGGTGAGAAAAGGAAGTGGATTCACAGATCTATGAAGGTGAGGCCCCTAAGTGCCACTACTATTCTGTGAGGCTATCACTTTTCTAGAGCAGGGCTGGGGAACCTTCTCTGCCAAGGGCCCTTTGGATATTCATAACATCATTCGTGGGCCATACAGAATTATCAACCTAACAGTTAGCCTGCTCTATTTGGTCAAACATAGGAATTAGGAAGATTAAAAACAAGTCATTTAATTTCTCTACTCTCAACTGTTATCTGTAAAACAAGACTATAACAGGTATAATAAGCACACAGTAATTGTAATCAAGCACTTTCTTTGTGCCTTGTTTTACTATAAAGAACCATTTTATTAGAGCTGTAGTTGAAATTTATGGGTCAGATTCAATATAACGTCACTTACTAACTTCATTGCATTCTGTGAGGAGCTTGTTGAATGAAATGTTTAAAATTTTTGTTCTTTTAGAGGAAACATGGAGAAAGCCATTGACATGTTCAACAAAGCTATTAACCTGGCCAAATCGGAAATGGAGATGGCTCATCTATACTCACTCTGTGATGCAGCCCACGCCCAGACAGAAGTTGCAAAGAAATACGGATTAAAGCCACCAACATTATAAAATAGGGGAAGGGAACATGACTCTCTTTTTAGAAGAAGTTTACCCCCTCTGCAACTGAACCCTAAAGACACTGTCATGAACTGTGTTCGATGGTGGAACTTGGTATTTCCTGTTTGTGCTGCTGTCATTCGTTACATCTGTTTCACATTTAAGTGTTGTGGGAGTGGCTGTTGAAGGAAGTGTGCAGTGTTGCAGCTTTTATTCCCTGTGCAACAAAAGCTTAAGACCTGTTCAAGGATTATTAAAATGAAGTTGCAAAGAGTACAAATGATAATTGGCCATGCAAATAAAACTTTTATTTGTTGATTTGGCACTTTTTTTTTTTTTAGGAGGGCGGGGAGATGGATGCTTTTGTCTTTATGTGTGTGTGTATGTGTGTAATATAAGTATTTTTACAGCATGTTGGTTTTTAAAGTAACAGAGTAAATGTTGAAAATTGGTTTCTTTTAGATCCAATTAATCCCTTTGAGTTTTGGGGGTTTTTTGAAAGAAATAAAGCCTACATGGGGATTTTGTTTTTAAGGCAGCAAAACTGGGAGAACCCTTTAAAGTACTGTCAGCATGCACAATGCCTCTAATTCTGTAGAACCTTTGACTCAGTGGCAACTGTTCAGCCTTTTTACCCCTTCAACTCTGATGGATAATGTACATTATTCTTCAAGTCCACAACAGCTGGTTTTCATTGTAAATTATGCAGAAGCAAATATTATGATTGATGTATGTGCTGGAAGACTGAGTTAATGGAGGAATGGACCAGGTAAGAGGTAAGGTGAAATGAATGTGTTTTTAATTGCCCATGACTATTTTCTGTAATAAGTACTATTAAATAGTGTCTTTTTAAAAGAAAATGCAGGTTGGTTGTATGTTAAAGATGGAGTGTGATACATGGGAGTATTTAATTAGCTTAAAGTTTCTAATGAGAAAATGGGGCTAAAGGTTCAAAAATGAAGTAATTCTTAGAGCCAGAAGCATAGCATTTTCTGAAGCTTAGTGCTTCAACTGTGGCTAAATGTGCTTAAGGAATTGGAGCCAATCTTTTCAAAGACGCTAAGGACCTGTGGAGTGCTTTTATTTTTCAGTTAATCTTGTTCTCTAAGGCCGACTGACTTCATTAGGGATACTGACAGCAGGTTTTTGTTTTGTTTCTCTTTACCTTACCTTTTTACTTAGAAATCACTTTACATTTGGGTTTTTTCCCAGTTGTCACTTTTATGGACCATCCCTTTACTTATATGCTGCATTTTCCTGGTGGCTGTGTTCTTAAGGGGTCTCTTGTTTTGAGATGTTCTGGGTAGTGACAGGTTTATTTAAGCCCAAGAATAAAACACCAAGCCTTTGGTTACACTTTCTTGGAAATGAAGTCTAATTAGAGTTTACATTGTTGGGAGTAAAGGAGCATTTTACCCCCCTTTTAAAGGGTGCTTTATCCTATTGAAACCAAAAAGATTGTCTATAAATGCTATCTTTTTAGAAATTATTAGAAATGACTCCCTTCCAAAGTCAGAGTCTGCACAATACTGAGGGCCTCTAACTAATGAGTGGGGGCAGATAATACAATTTAAGATGACTTGGATAATGGAAAATATGAAAGCTCTGCATTTTAGTTATTAGATGATGCTCTTACAATAACCCCTGAACACAGAAATGCTCTACATCTCTGAGTAACCTGTGACTTAGAGAACACAAAACACCACCGTTTTTATTTGCATGGCTGTATTTACATTAACACTAACATTCTCTCCCCCTTTCTACCCCATGGGGCGGGGGTAAACACACAAAGGAAACGGAAGCATGTGCCATTCAGTACTGTCATTCCAGTCCTCGGGAACTACTGCCTGTTCTAAAAAATATTTGAACCTGCACTGAAAGTTGCATCTGTCTGTATCTTTACTTTTGTAAATGACCTCATATGTAAATTCACCAAATAAATATTACATTCAAGCTTTCCTATCTCTTCTTGAAGTCTGTTTACAAGCCATCACACAGAATGATGGTCCTCCCAAAAATATCCACATCTTCATCTGTGGAACCTGTGGCTGTTACTTTATATGACAAAAATAAGCTTTGCATATTCAGTTAAGGATCTTGAGCTGAAAAAGTTAACTTGGATTATGGAGAATTTCCAGTTTGGGTGCCAAAAGTTATATACAGTGTGGTATGAAAATATAGATGAGAAGAATAAATTCCTCTAGGACTTAGGTAATGATCTTCTTTCTATAGAATAGGGAAATACTCATTCTTTTTAAAAAAATACATTTTTATTGATTTCAGAGAGGAAGAGGGAGAGACAGAAACATCAATGATGAGAATTATTGATTGGCTGCCTCATGCACACTCCTTACTAGGGATCGAGCCTGCAACCCGGTCATGTGCCCTTGATGGGAATCAAACCTAGGACCCTTCAATCCACAGGCCAGTGCTCTATTCACTGAGCCAAACGGGCCAGGGCAACATTTTCTTTAAAAATATAAGTGAAGGGACATTATGAGTTTGAGCTAAAATAAGCCATCCAAGTTAGTCTGGCAAGATGAAGTCCTTTTTTCCAATTGGTGAGGAGACACCAACAGTGAAACTACATGTTTGAGAATTAGCATGTATTTAAGACCATGCATGTAGATGAGATTACTTCAGGACAAAATTAAAATTAAAAAGGGTAGCCTTAGCCGGTTTGGCACAGTGCATCGGCCTGTGGACTGAAGGGTCCTGGGTTCAATTCTGGTCAAGGGCACATGCCCGGGTTGCGGGCTCTATCCCCAGTAGGGAGCCTGCGGGAGACAGCCAATCAATGATTCTCATCATTGATGTTTCTATCTCTCCCTTTCTGAAATCAATAAAAATGTTTTTTTAAAAAAAAATGAAAAGGACAAGGTAGCAATGTACTAGTAAAAGTGGTCAGAGCCGAAACCGGTTTGGCTCAGTGGATAGAGCGTCGGCCTGCGGACTGAAGGGTCCCAGGTTCGATTCCGGTCAAGGGCATGTACCTGGGTTGCGGGCACATCCCCAGTGGGAGATGTGCAAGAGGCAGCTCATCGATGTTTCTCTCTCATCGATGTTTCTAGCTCTCTATCTCTCTCCCTCTCTGTAAAAAATCAATACAATATATTTTTTTTAAAAAATAAAGTGCTAATGCTACTAAGGGTGTGAAAGAAACAACACAGGCAGTTGAAGAGAGAAAAACGGTTGTTGATTTGGATAAATGAAAGGTAGTGAGGCAATGACAGCATTTTGGAGGCAATGACGTGAAGATGCTGCATACTGACTTCCTGAAAGATACCCCTGGAATGAGTACTGAAAGTGATTCACTTAAGGCTGCAGAGGGTGGTTCGATAAATTTTAGGATTGTTTGCTTATAGACATGGCTGTATAAAAGAAAAGTTAAAATGCAAAATCACTTGAGGGTCTGGGATGAAAAAATGATTTGGTTTTCAAACAAATTGCTTCTGGAACAGCTCCAGAACAAATTAAGTCCGAGAACTGAGGTTCCACGGTCGTTGAGCACAAAGGAATACATGTGTAGACTTTATAGTAACAGATTTCAGGAGAAAGTGGAATCAAACACACTGCCCGCCATGCTCCACCTTCCAGATTCTTGTCCATCTGAACCAGATATGAAGTAATCAGTAAATACCCTTGTATGGATGTGTTTTAGTTATTTAACTATAGATCTGGGGCTTAACTTTTGCTTTTTTGTTAATCCTCACCTGAAGATATTTTTCCAGTGATTTTTGAAAAGAGTGGGAAGGGAAGGGGAGAGAGAGAGAGAAACACTGGTAATTGCTTCCCACAGGCCCCAACCAGGGCCAGGGATCAAGCCTACAACTGAGTTATGAGCCCTTGACTGGAATTGAACCCGGACCGACGCGCTATACACTGAGCCAAACCAGCTAAGGCTTAACTTATTAATTCTTGATTTTAACAAGCCCATTTTATCCTGAAGTGCGTTCTCTTCCAACAAGTAGCTTTATTCTCCAATCTTCACCCAAGAAGAAACAGCTAAATAAAGATGATAGTTTGGCCGGAACCGGTTTGGCTCAGTGGATAGAGTGTTGGCCTGCGGACTGAAGGGTCCCGGGTTCGATTCCGGTCATGGGCATGTACCTGGTTTGCGGGCACATCTCCAGTGGGAGATGTGCAGGAGGCAGCTGATCGATGTTTCTCTCTCATCGATGTTTCTAACTCTCTATCTCTCTCCCTTCCTCTCTGTAAAAAATCAATAAAATATATTTAAAAAAAAAAAAAAAGATGATAGTTTGACCAAAAAAATAAACTGCATACAAAGACAAGGCACAGAGGAGAAAAGTCTATGAGGCCTGTAGCACTGACAGTGTGTTTGATCAGTGCAAACACCACAGAAGGCACATCTCCCTTCCCATCCTCACTTCATCAAGCCCACTCACCACCAAACCTCCCCAGCAGTGCTTCAGAGGCAGCATGAAAGACAAACTAGAGCCAGGAGAGCACTTCTTGTCAGCCCTTTTCCACTTGGTATACTCGTACTCTGCGCAGACCTTTTGGTGGCAGCAAGGAGTCCTTCCCTAAAAATCCACTTGATGTCACAACCTGACTAAGTCATTTAAACCCTGCAATGTTAGTAATTTCTTCATTGCAACCACTACACCTATTATCTGTTAGCTCTCCACTTCAAATAGCTGGGTCAAAGTCAAGCAGCACCCTCTGATGTATTTCAACATACATTATCATCCCTGTCAGGGAGTCACTTAAATTAGCTAAATGAGTTAGCGTATTTAAATTGCAGGTGACAAATTCCAACATGCAATACCAGACTTCAAAGTATTAAAAAAAAAAAAAAAAGAAAAGAAAAAGCATTGACTGACTCATTAGAAAGTTAGGGAGTACAGGGCAATGAGTTAAAACATTTTTAGGGCCTTAGACTGCAATGTTCTCCCCCTTCAAGTGGACCAAATTCAGGGTTAAATTTGGTCAGCTATCACGTTCTCAAAAGTGAAATCAGGGGCCATGTTATACATACATTACATAGAGGAATAAAGGATAAGAACTCCAGGAATGCAATCTAGTGCATAATACTGCAGCAAATTTAAGTGTCGCAAGAGGGAAGGGGGGAGGGGGTGAGTCTAGAATTCTATAATCAGTATAAATAGTTTCTTAAAAATGAAGGCAAAATTAAAATATTTTCAGACACACTAAAGCTGAAAACCACCAAGCAGACCTACATTACAAGAAATGCTAAAAAAAAAAAAAAGTCCTTCAAGCGGAAGTTTAATAGACCTACACAAAATAATGAGTACTAGAGATAATAAATATGTTGGTAAATGTAAGGTACACTTTTTAAAAAGCTCTTTAAAAGATTACTGGCTGTTTAAAACAAAAATAGCTTTATTATGGGATTCATATGTTGAAGTATGACAATTACAAAGGGAGAAGTGAAATGAAGTACACTGTAATATTCTTACATCCCAATTGGTAGGTGTGTAACTGAGGAAAGACTCTTGTTAAGGATGTATACTATAAACCCAAAAACAACAATTAAAATAGCACTACAAAGAATTATAGTTTGTAGTCCAATAAAGTAGATAAAGTGAATCACGGAGTGACATTCAGTTAATTCAAGAGAAAGGAGAAGGGAAAAGGAACAAATGTGATCAATACAAAAAATAGAAAGATGATATATTTAAATCCATCTATGGCACATTAAGCATAATTGGTCTAAACACCCCAAGTAAAAAGCAGAGATTGTCAAATTGGATAAAAATGCATGACCCAGCTGTATTTGCATAAAAGAAACCCACTTTACATATGAAGAAACAGTTTAAAATAAAAAGGATGGGACATCAGCATCATGATGAAGTGAGAGGATTCCATTAACAACTAAATAAAGAATCCCTACTCCACAAACATCTGAAAGATCCACACAGTGGAACATCTGAATGTGGGCGTATTGAAACAAGTGGAGGAGGCAGGACAAGGGAAGAACAGATGCTGGCTGCTGACATAATTCAGTGCCAACCATGGCTCCAGTGAGGGTGATAGCAGTGGAGAAGCTGGGCCTGAAGTGTAAGAGGAGCAGAAGCACTTTTCCCTCCAAGAAAAGGCATTTCCCTTCCCCCTCGTCAGTACAGAGCCAAGTAGAGGTGGCTGGAAAGCTTAAAACAGCGGTACTGCCGCCATACACCTTTGTTAAGGGAAGGAGGAAGGGGGAGGCACAAGATAGCCAATTTGCCTCTGTGCCCCACAGTCCGGCAGGGCATGGTAAAGCTGAGACATACCAAACAGCACAGTGAAAAGAAAGCACCCTATCAACCTGCTGAACTGCTAAGAGCAAAACAGTAAACATGAAGGAATACTACCTCAAAGGCGCAGGCAGAAAAACAACCTGTCAAATACCAGGAACCATAACTGGGAGCACAGAAAAATGACATCTCCAGAAACTCAAAGCCATGGAAGACAGAGTTTTATTTATGTATTTATTAATATATATTGATTTCAGAGAGGAAGGGAGAGGGAGAGAAACATCAATGATGAGAGAATCATTCATTGGCTGCCTCCTGCATGCCCCACACTGGGGATGGAACCCACAACCCGGGCCTGTGCCCTTGACCAGAATTGAACTCAGGACCCTTCAGTCTTCAGCTCTATCCACTGAGTCAAAACCAGCTAGGGCTGGAAGGCAGTATTTTAAGTGACTGAATTCAAGGTTACACTTATAAAGAAACTCAATGATATACAAGAAAACTCAGACAGTCCAAAGAGCTCAGGAATAAAATTAGTGAACAGAAGTATTTTATCAAACAAACTAAAACTATAAAAGAACCAAGCAAAAATTCTGTAGTTGAAGACCTCAGTAAAGGAGATGAATCCACCAGAGACCACTGGAAATAGAGCAGAACAGACAGAAGAGGGAATTAGTGAACTTGAAGACAGAAACCTAGAAATGAGCCAGTAGGAAGAGAGAAAACTAAACAATAA